GAAACAGAGCCCTGGAGAAGGGAAGAAGTCTGCTCCTATGAGCGCCAGGACAGGGCTGCTGCTCCCCAGGAGGGAGCAGAGCAGCTCCATCACCCCCACAGCCAACACCCTGGCCCAGCAGGGACTGCCACGCTCGGTGTCCCCACACGGCTGACAGGCACCAGCCTCCCTGGGGACAGCCACACTGCTGACCCCTGACATCCCCGGCCCTTCTCCTGCCACCAACCCACTGACACCACCCCCAGAGCGAGCCGGCGCAGCACGCCCTCCCTCACTAGCAAACAGCCACACGTCCCACCCGCTGCAATGCCAAACTGCTCGTCTTTATTCAAGCTGGGAAAAGCAGCCTCTGCCCCAGCGACACCGGCTCCATCGCGGGGTGTCTCCAGCCCACGAGCACCCGGCACCCAGCGGGAGCAGCGCTGCCACTGCTGCTGGCACAGACCCTGGGCACGGCAGAGGCAGGGAGGGGAGAGGACATCAGGGCATGGTTCCAGGAGCCAGAAGCGAGGGGGACGTTCTGCTTGGGATGTTCAGGGGCTCACCGCCAGATCCTGTATGAAGAAAGCAGACAAGCATGTTACCTGCAAGAACTTACTTTTCTCTTCCTCCCACTCTCTCCTCTCTCCTCTGCAATGACAAGCAAGTCTATGGTGCAAGAGAATCGGGCTCAATGGAGGTGAAGTTGTGTCCCCTTTGCAGACAGTTTGAACCCAATTTCTCTCAGTGTTGGCTGCCCTGACTCCTGCCCTATGCAGATGCAGCCAGGCCAGGATCACATCCTCGATGCTGTGCGAGGACAGTGAGTGCTTCCCTCTTTGCTAGCTTGGGAGAGCCCTCTGCAAAGCCTGGATGGCTCTCATGGGGCTGAAGGACAGTGGGGACGTGCTGGCTGACTTCGGGCTGCTTCAGCTCCAGTCAGGGAAGGTCCAAGCACCTTTCCTTTCCTCCCCTGCCCTCTGCCTTGGAGGATGTTTAGCACTTCCCTGTTAGCTAGTCATGGCTGCTTAAATACAACAGCAACTTTTTCTATCATCACAGTAGAATTTCTAATTCAAAAACTTACTTTTTACAGCAAAAGAAGAACCTCGAACATTTTCCATTAATAACAAAGGGGAAATTACAGTTCAGAAATCCACAGAAGCCATTTTGTCGCTCACATTCTTTCTTATTCCCAGGAGCCAGGGAGGATCCTGCACATTGAGAGAGGCCAAATACGTGAGTATGGGTTTAACTGTATCAAATGTGCATGGTTCCAGAGGGGCTGACACTGCCCCTGGATCTCAGTCTCCCAAACGCACTGAGCACCAAACCCAACATTTTTAGCTCTCCAGTGAGAGGTTATCTTTTCTGCAGCAGCATGTCAGAACGTGGCACAGTCCTAGGGAAAGAGCAGTGTGAGGTCCGGGAAGTGCTGTGTTGACTCCTCAGCTGCACAGGTGTTCATCAGAGCCAATTCCTCCCAAATGTTCTACATATCTGACAAAGCTGGTCACTTCCCAGGACATGGGGGACTGCACTAATTGGGAGCACACCAGACCCCATCTCCCCTCTTTCTCTCTCACCTGCAGCACCCTGGACCAACAGGAGGAAGAAAGGGAAGAGGAGGTAGAGGATCTTCATGGCTGACGCGTGTCCCAGATCTTCACGGGGCTGCAGAGAGGACACAACAAGAGAAAAAATGACGTAGAAGGAAAAGTCTTGAAACAAACAGTGAGCCAACAAGCAGACGCACCATCTCCAGCAAAAAGAGACAATGATTGATAAAACTGCAACTTTACAGGTATCCTGGAAGTATTTTGGGCAGCTCGAGACTGTTGAGCAAGCAGGAGTTTCGTACGTTTTCTTCTTCACAGAACTTTTGATGGTTTCCTCAAAACTCAGACTGGAGGATTCATGCCTGGTTGTTTCCATTTTGCTCAAAAAACCTATCTTCAGAAACTCAGATTAAAAAACACCCTGCCCCATCAGCTCTGCTTCCCTGTGCTCAGGAAAGTCCTGCCAGCTTGGCTGGGGAGTGCCCATCCCCAACTCAAGACCAAGCCGAGGCTCCCAGGAAAGACACGCCACTGCTCCACAGTTCCTACCCCTGACCCGTGCAGAACCAACACAGGGAGGAGAAAAAGGGAACTAGGCAGATTTTATTCTCTGATCGAAGCATTCTGGTGTCCTAAAGGCATACTTCCAGCAGTTTATCATTTTGACCTTTCCAGGAAAGTAAATCTCCACAGAGAGGCTGAAGGGGATGGCCAGCCTGGAAGAGACTTGGCCGTCACCTACCTGGTGAAGGTGTTGGTTCAGAGCGCACCAAGGCAGCAACCGGCTGCTACAGTCCGACCCAAGAGGAGGCACTTGCACCCAGAAGCGTTAGCACCAGGGAGCATCCCTTTGCCCCAAACGCCCTGGTTTTATACCGCTGACAGTGGGTGGCACTTGTTTATTCCCACGGCCACGTCTCCCCTTGGCCAATCAGCAAGTGCCCCATCGGCGTGGGGGCGGTGGGGTTGTACCTCGTCCCTCCCTGCTGCAGGGGGAGAGGCTGAGGTGCCTCCTGGGGCTGTTGCAATCCTCACCGTTATCCTCATGCAACACGACTTGTGACACCCCGCGGCGCAGCGGCCACCCGGCTTGTGGTGCCTTGCTGAAAAATCTTAGGGATGGAGAAAGTAAGCGTTCGGTGTGAACACCAGCACCAGCCCAGTCCCAGAAGCAAAGAAGCCTTCTTTGTCTGTTCCCATCACAAGGAATTATCAACTAGTGTTTGATGTAAAGGAACACACCAAAGCTGGAAAATAATCCCACCTCTAGACACTGCAAGAATCCCTTGTTTAGGACCAGATGGCTGTGCACCTGACGTGGCAAAGGTGAAAAGCAGGACCTGTCTCTCTAGTCACTCTTCAGATTAAATGAGAGGAACACCAGCGAGTATTTACGATCAGGAAAGAGGGTGATCCAGTGAAGCTGCATCTCCTCCTAAAGCCACCCAAGGTGAAGAAACGGAGGCTGGATGCAGCCACCTCTTGTTTAGCCAAGGCATTCGATGCCGTTCCTGCAATGGGCACAAGTGGCAGTCCTTGGCGGGCAGGAGTTGTGCCATGCAGACATCTTGGCAACTGCCTCTCGGGCCATTTGGAAGAGGAATCTGCTCCCCCCACCTCCACGGGGTTACCTGCTGGGGACGGTGGCAGTGGGGCCTGGCCTCTTGGCCTTTCCTCCTTGCGCGCCATTGAGATGTCAAGTGTCGGTGCCAAGAGAAGAAGCACAAAAGACGTGGAAGATGGCTCCTGCATGCTCAGCAGCAGCAGAGGGCCCACCTGACCAGAATTCTGCTCTGGGGTTTTGCTGGGAGACCTTCCTGAAGAGAAGCGGACAAAGTTCCATCTCGTCGTACGGCATCAGTCTGGAGCTGGTTTCCATCGAGCAGGGATGCAGTGTGTGTGTCTGCCCGTGTGTGTGTGTGTGTGTTTGTGTGTGGGATTTTGTGTGTGTGTGTGTGTCCCCAAGAGGTGCCCAGCAAACCCCAGCACTGAACAGCCCTCACGCAAGGCGAGACGACGCAGGACCGTGGGCTGGATGCCTGGGGAGCCTTCTCAGAGGTGTCAGAAGAGGAAAGCGATGCCTCCTTTTCTCTGGTGGGAGGAGAATCAGGAAAAGGGGCATTTGGGCTGAACTTTTTGATGCAGCAGCAACTCCAGCCTGTCCCCTGCACTCTCCACCTCGTGATGCTCCAGGGAGCAGCAAGTAATATAGAAATGGATGAGGTGCATGGAAAAATGGAGGATTTCTCTGATACTACAGTGAAGCTGGCCAGTAGATGATGTGGCTTTCTTATAAATAAATTAAAAGGAGACAGAAGCCTAACCATTTGGTACAGCTATATATTTTTCCCCCAGTGAGATCATGAGGCATGCATCACTTTTCCTGGTTGCTGTGGCATCTTCCGAGGGGTCCCTTACCACCCATATCTTTGAGCGGAGTCTCCTGCTGCGGATTCTGCAGCTGAGACAAGAGCTGGGACCTTGTAACAGAGCTCTCGCCCTCCAGGGATGAGCTTTGGCCACCATCTCTGTACGTTCAGGCCCACGTCTTTCCCAGTCTGCAACACTGGGTGCAGCATCTCACCCACAGAGGAGGGGGAAGAGGGAGGAAGGCAGCTCCTGCTTCCACCCTGGCAGTCATCCTTTATGGCAGGACAGAGCCAGCAGGCGTGTTGGAGAGCCTCTCCCACAGACTGCTGTAGCTCAGCAGTGACCAACCCATCCAAGTGCCATGAACATCACCTTGCTTTCCCCTGGAAATGTTCCCTTGGCTGTTGGGGAACAGGGACAATATGCAGCCCAGGGACACGAGGACAACTGTGGGTTGTCATTGCAGCGCTGCCCAGCCTGGGAGATGTTGCTGGGGCTGCAGCCACCCAGTTTCCTCCAAGGCCTCCCCCAACACTGCTGGCAGCCCATGTGCCACCTGCAGAGAGGGCAGGGGCCCCTCCTGGGCTCCGGCCAGCCCCGTGCCTGCCCAGCCAGTGATGAGCTGGGGAGGGAATTGCCCCCGTGTGCACGGCCAAAGAGACAAACACTGATGGGCAGGCTGACCCTTCCAGTCGGAGCAATGTCCCGCTCCCTTTGGGTACAGACATCCCCCGCAGAGCGTCCAAGGAGACGCCTCTCCCAGCGAGCAGCAGGATGGAGCCTCCCTTCAACTCGTCATCACTTGGGCTGAGCACTCGTCACAGGAAAGGGCTGCTACCCACCCCAAAAAGAGACTGACACGGAAACAGAGCCCTGGAGAAGGGAAGAAGTCTGCTCCTATGAGCGCCAGGACAAGGATGCTGCTTCCCGGGAGGGAGCAGAGCAGCTCTTTCACATCCACAGCCAACACCCTGGCCCAGCAGGGACTGCCACGCTCGGTGTCCCCACACGGCTGACAGGCACCAGCCTCCCTGGGGACAGCCACACTGCTGACCCCCAACATCCCCGGCCCTTCTCCTGCCACCAACCCACTGCCACCACCCCCAGAGCGAGCCGGCGCAGCACGCCCTCCCTCACTAGCAAACAGCCACACGTCCCACCCGCTGCAATGCCAAACTGCTCGTCTTTATTCAAGCTGGGAAAAGCAGCCTCTGCCCCAGCGACACCGGCTCCATCGCGGGGTGTCTCCAGCCCACGAGCACCCGGCACCCAGCGGGAGCAGCGCTGCCACTGCTGCTGGCACAGACCCTGGGCACGGCAGAGGCAGGGAGGGGAGAGGACATCAGGGCATGGTTCCAGGAGCCAGAAGCGAGGGGGACGTTCTGCTTGGGATGTTCAGGGGCTCACCCCCAGATACTGTATGAAGAAAGCAGACAAGCATGTCACCTGCTGGAACTTACTTTTCTCTTCCTCCCACTCCCTCCTCTCTCCCCTGCAATGACAAGCAAGTCCATGGTGCAAGAGAATCGAGCTCAATGCAGGTGAAGTTGTGTCCCCTTTGCAGACAGTTTGAACCCAATTTCTCTCAGTGTTGGCTGTCCTGACTCCTGCCCTATGCAGATGCAGTCAGGCCAGGATCACATTCTCAATGCTGTGCGAGGACAGTGAGTGATTCCCTCTTTGCTATCTTGGGAGAGCCCTCTGCAAAGCCCGGATGGGTCTCATGGGGCTGAAGGAGAGTGAGGATGTGCTGGCTGACCTTGGGCTGCTTCAGCTTCAATCAGGGCAAGTCCAAACCCACAAGTGTTTTTCCCTTCCTTCTTGGGCTTCTCACACACACTATAATGGCAGGAAATTTTTTACCACGCATTGGCAAGAAAGCAATATTTGACAGATATTTCTGTGGACAAAGAAATATATCTTTCCTCTGAGAAACATCTAGATGTTACCTTTTGCAGCATGTTCGAAATCTTGAGCATCTTCCAATAGGTGTTGTAGGATACCTACATGACCCAATTTTGCAAAATCCTCCTCTTCGCCTGCATCCTGACGAGCTTCCTGTTTCCATGGAGAATGATACACACAAAAAAATGGCAGTGATAATCTGTGTGAGCAGGGTGTGGTCACAGAAAGTCTTATTCACCCCATGTGTTTCAAGCTAATGTATGGGCTCTTTAGCCTCATCAAAGCCACATTTTCAAGAGCAGTGTGTTTCACCTAGAAAGACTCTTTCACTCTAAAGTGGGTACACACAAGAGCAGAGAGTGGGAAGGATGAGAGGGAGGTTGAGGAAGAGCCATGCTGGCTCCTCAGCTGTGTGTCCACCACTGCCAGGACCTGCAGAGCTGGCAAGCAGGGCACTCTTTGCATCCCATGTCCTTGTCCTGGCTGCACCTCACCTTTGAGTGACCTCTGATGGAAAGTCCTTGCCCAGCCACTGCAAGGGTCCTGCCTTGAGGTAATGAGGTTTTGGGACTCTCAGCTGAGTCACCACTAGATGAGAAGGGACAGCTTTCTGCTCCAGGCATCCCACCGAACCAACAACCCCCTGGGGATCTCTCCCTTGTGCCCCTGCACGGGGCAAAAGATCATCCAGAGGAACCCCCAGAGGAACAGCTGGGTGCAAGTTTGGAGACTGAAACCAAACCCCTTCCTGACACATAGAAGAAGCGGGATTCTATTGCCAGGGGCTCTCTCTGCCCCCTGTCCATGAGCTCCTTGAAAAGCACTCGGAAAACCCCTTTTCCTCAATCCCTGACAACATTTGCACTGCTCCAACTAGTGGGGTCACTTTCTGGGACATGGAAAAACCCATTGATGGGCCCTCACACCTCACCTGTCTCCCCTCTTTCCCTCTCACCTGCAGCACTCTGGATCAACAGGAGGAAGAAGGGGAAGAGCAGGTACAGGATCTTCATGGCTGATGACTGGCGCAGGTCTTCAGGGAGCTGCAGAGGGGGACACCAAGGCAATAATGACATGGAGGAACCCAGGAGGTGCAGAAGCCTCAGCACTGTGGTATACTAAACTGCAGAGGGTCTACCTTCAGCTAAAGTCGATGATATTTCCTCTACCTTTCTCTTCAGGACAATTTCCACCTCTATAGTGCCCAGCTTATCTTGGGACCATTTGTTGATGTCTCAGTCTCTTGGAAATTGAGTAACGAAGCTGATGTTTTGCATTAACTTTCTCAAAGGTCTTCCCCAAAGAACACACTGCAAACCTCGGGGCCAATTGTCACCAATTCAATTAAAACAACATCCAGTGAAATTTGGAAAATGAAGATTTAAAATTGACATTGAAAGTTACGGAACTATTGAACATTTACACCCTCATTCTTCATGTATCAAAGGCTTTTCTCATCAACAAAGCACATATATATTCCCTGATTGCTAGAACCACACAAAGGTCCAAGGTTCTCTGAAGATGCTAAATTCTTATGGCCTGAAATAAACATGGTCTGTCTCCAGGGTTGTCCCCAATCAACAAGTGAAAGGTGACCTGATTTCAAGCAGATCAGAATTATTACTTGTGACTTTCCTCTCTCATTTCTGCCTCTCCTTTAAGCAAGGGCCAGAGCAAGGAAGGTCTGCACATCAGGAAAGGATTGTGCCAACACTCAGTGCCATGCCCTTAGTCAGATTATGGGAGAGAAAGGATCCAGGCGCTCGAATTTGGGGAAATACATGTGCTTGGAAATAACACGCTCTATGAAATGTTACCCAGTGCTCTCCATCAGCTCAGCCAGTCCAAAGCTGGCTGCCCAAAACACCCTGCCCCATCAGCTCTGCTTTCCTGTGCTCAGGAAAGTCCTGCCAGCTTGGCTGGGGAGTGCCCATCCCCAACTCAAGACCAAGCCTGGGCTCCCAGGAAAGACGCTCCACGGCCCCACGCTTCCTACCCCTGCCCTGTGCAGCACCAACCCAGGGAGGAGAAAGAGCACAAGCAAGTGTCTTGGTGGCCAGAAACACAAAAACCAATCAATCTTTTGAGTTAAGTAAAAGCCTGACAGGATGGGAGATCTCTGCACTGCTGTGGGAAAAGTATCGCCTTGCTTTGCTGAGGAAAGTCCCCATTCTCCCAGAACAGAAGACCTCGGGTCCCTCCTCCTGTCTCAACGCACCTTTGCAGTCCCTTTTGTTATTAGGAAATATTAATGCCACCCTCCCCATGTTCTGGGCTCTTAGACTCATAGTAAGGTTTTTATTCTTTTTCCTAGGTGTCTGTGATGGTCTAATTATATCCAGCAGTTTGTCATTTATATGAGTCTAGGGTCATGGTAGTTGAACAGAGAAGCCAAATGGTCAGTTTTTTGAGAAAGAGACCCAGATAATACCTACCTGATGAAGGTCTTGGTGTTCAGGCAGTTAACCAGTGCACCAGGAGTCACCTGCCTCCAGACGCCCTTGTGTCCGAAGAGTACTGGCTTGGTGAAAATACCCTTTTTCTACCATTGCTGGTGGGTGGGACATGTGCTTATTCCTGCTGACACGTCCCCCCTTGGCCAATCAGAAAGGGACCCATTGTGTGAGGATGATGGGGTTGCACCTTGTCCCTCTCTGATGCAATGGGAGAGGCTGAGGTACCTCCTGGAGGTTGTTGTAATCTTCACCGTTACCCTGTGCAACAAGTCTTGTGACACCCATGTCACAGCAGGCATTTGGGCTGTGGTGGCTCAACATGAACTGCCTGGGATGGACAAAGCAGAGTGCTTGGTGTAGACACCGGTAATAACCAGTCCCATAAAAAGATAAAATATTTGTCTTCCTTTCCTCTCAATTTACATAGTAAGCAGATAGTGTGCGACTTGCAGTATTATGCAAAATATTTTAATTTTCTCCTCTTTTAACATTACAAGAACAGCTTCATCCTTACCAAAGTGATTTGCATTTGATATGCCAGGAAGCGACAAGCTACCTTTCTGATGGCTACTGAGATAAACAGACAGCGAACAGAGGGAAAGTGCTCAGGTGAAACCACAGCTCACCTAATTCTGTCTGATTTCACTGCTCTTAAAACTGTAGTTCCTGTTACAAAACCCACAAATGTGGTTCAGTGGAAACAGAAAGAAACAAGGAATGAAAGGGCTTAAGCTCATGTAAGCAGGTTGCTGGTTATTATACTTCTCTTGCCATACTCTATATCTGATCACCATGATTTGTCCTCTATTCCTAGTAAACTTTATTTATAACAATTTCTTTGTACAAACCATCTGTCTGTGGCGTGTCTGCATGGCTGTGCAGTCCTCTAGCAAATTCAAGCCAGAGTACTGGTTATGGGAGAGAGTAACAGGAGTGCTGGTCCATCTCCCAGAGAGACCAAAGCTCTGGAAGTTGGATCCGAGAGAGAATTAAGGGACTTGAGGTTGGATACATCAGAGACAAAGGGTCTGGTGCCATCTGTCAGAGACAGGTGTAAGGCCACCTTTTCTACACACGTAATGGGGATTTTCCCTGAGCAGAAACCAATAGGAGTAGGATTGGGTGTCCGTGGTGGTGTCTTTGTGGATGTGAAGGTCCTAGGAGCATCCTTACTCCTGGAGGTTTGGTATCAGGCTCAAGACTAGCACAACCAAGGGCTGCTGATTTGGAGGGGGCTTCCAGCCCACACTGCAGGGAGATCATGGTTGGGGCCACCCCCTGCCCAGCGGAGCTACTTTGAGCTGGGGATTTTGTGCTGAACCCCACCAGAGCTACTTTGAGCTGGGGATTTTGTGCTGAACCCCACCAGAGCTACTTTGAGCTGGGGATTTTGTGCTGAACCCCACCAGAGCTACTTTGAGCTGGGGATTTTGTGCTGAACCCCACCAGAGCTGCACCTTGGTCCTGCTGATCCAGACCTTGATTTTGACCCAGAGCTGACACCCTGTCCTGGCCTTGACTCATCTTCACGGAGGTGCCCAATGCCCCAGGCTGAGGCTGCTCCCAGTCCCCCTCTCCTGCCCTGATCCATGTCTGGGAGCAGCGGGATGATCCCTGACCTACCAGCCCCCCATGGAGAACTGCCCCATGGCAGTGACGGAGCCACCCCCATGCCCCACATTAAACTTAGCATCATCAATCTGTTCCCAAGGCTTACCCACAATGCTGACCCACAGCCTGGCTTTGAGGTCCTAGCTGACCCCCTCAGCCCAGCTCCAGGTCTTGAACCCCGCCACTAACTCAATCTGAAGCTCCTGAGTGGACCCTTGGCAGCCATCAGTCCCTCTTTCCTCAGGGGCAGAATGACTTTCCCCACCCCCCAGCTACTCCTAGACCCCAAAACACCACCCTGGTGCCACTCACCCAGGCCCCACACCTGGGAATGGATGGACCCATGGCCACTAGAGCAGCAAGTCCTGTGGAACATCCCCATGGAGACTCCCGACCCAGCTTGGGACCCAGTGGACAACCAGCAGGCACCCACTGAAGTTGGGGGGGGGTTCATAGCAACCCCTCATCCCCGACCTTGGATGTGAGGGGAAGGAATCCCCTTGTTGAGAGAGAAGGCTGGTGTTGGGGTCCCTGTTGGTCCCCCCCACACTGGTGGGGATGCTGCTGTGGCTTAGGGCCAACTTGGAGAGGGGGTAGGTGAGAAATAGGGGGGACGGGGGGGAAGTAGTGGTGTTTGTGGGTCCATACCTATCAGGAATTCACTCCGCCTTCTCTGCCCTTCCCTGTACTCAAAGAAAAGAGAGGCACACCCGGACGCCGCTCCATGAGGACACACACACACTCCCCTTGGCAACGGGAATGCAAACCACCGTCTTGTATTGGGGACACTGGGGTAAGGGATTCCCGTGGGACCGCAGTCAGGCTGTCCAGGGTTGCTGTTGCTCCCGGCGGTGCTTGGTGCCTCCGTGCAGCAACACCCCGACCACGCTGCGAGGGCATGGGCTGGTCTCAAAGGGATGCTTGGAGATTGGAGCCGGGGACCCAGGAGCACATCAGGGATACCATCGCCTGCAGGAGAAAAGGTCTGGCAGTGCCTGTCCCAAACAAGGTAGCAGTGAGGGCTTGGGGACATCCCCGTGACTTTGGGTTGCTTATTTTCTCCTCTTTCTCCAACAGCCTCACCTCTAACCCTAACAGGCAGCAACCTCAGCCATTTGGGCAGCCCTCGACCTACCTCCGACAGCAGAATTCTCGCTCAGAGCAAATGCCAACACGACCGATCCCTGGAGGGCATGACCCGAGAGAGCAGAAGCCCCCACGACGCTCACAGTCCTGGGGTGATCCTCGAGCGAGGGACAGCCCTGCAGAGTGTAGAAAGAAGAGACCTTCGGCATGGCCATGTAGAGATGCTGAGCTCAGCTCCTGATCCCTGCACGGCCAGCGTTAGCCCATCCCTGACTGTCCTTTGCCACAAATGCCCGGGCAGGCGTCTGCAACAGAGAACAAGGTGATGTTTGTGCTACTTGGATGGGATTCTCACTACCATCTCTCAGCAGTCTGCAGGAGAGGCTCTCCAACAATTCTGCTGGCTCCCTCCTGGCACAAGGGAGAACTCGCAGGGTGGAAGCAGGATCTGCCTTCCTTCCTCCTTCTCCTCCTCCTCTCCAATAGTGCTGCTGTGTCCAGTGCTGCTGACTGGGAAAGACATGGGCCAGAAGGTACAGGGAAGGTAGCAAATCCTTCTCTTAGGAGCACCAGAGCTTTGTTACAAGTTCCCAGCTCTTGTCCCAGCTGCAGAACCTGTATCAAGAGCTTTTTCTCAAAGGTATGGGGTGTGAGGGACCCCAAAGGGGATGCCACAGCAACCAGAAAACACACATGACTCATCATCTCAGCTGGCAAATCCTCCCTACAAAATACTGACAAAGGATGAATCCTCCACATTCCCCCAGGCATTTCTTACCTGCTGCTCCCTGGAACATCAGGAGGAGAAGAGCACAGAAGAGAGGCAGGATCCGCATGGCTGGGAGGTCCTGGCAGGGTCACAGCTCTAGGGAGAAGAGAAAGCAGGCAGAGATGAACAGGATTGTCCCTGCCTGCCTGCTGTGTAGAGCTTGAACAGGGGACGGGACTGAGGAGAGGGCACAGCCCATCCAGGAGATGTGACCAGTCACCAGTGGGAGGACGCACTCCACAGCCTGAGGGTAGGAGCCTCCCACAGCCTCCCAGCTCCCGGTGGCAGCAACACCAGTTTGGTCCCAGCCAGCTGGTCTCTCCACGTGGCAAAGAATCCCTTGAGATGGCTGACACCTCAAAATGTCCAGCCCAAAAGCTCCTTTTCCTGTTTCTCCCCCTGCCAGAGAAAAGGAGGCATTGCTTTCCTCTTCTGACACCTCTGAGGATCCCCAGGCCTCCAGCCCGGGTCTTGTGTCATCCCGCCTTGCGTAAGGACCATTCCGTGCTGCGGTTTGCTGGACACTTCTTGGGACACACTGCATCCCTGTTCGTTAGAACTTGGCAAGCGATCTGCTTTCACAACACAAAGGAGCTCTGTATTCCTCCCCCAAGTGAAGCGTGCTCTCTGTGCTTCACTTGAAAATAAGTGGGAAGACGCCACATGGGATGACATCTCCGTCCAGCTGGCAATCCCATGAATGACAAGGTTTAATTGTGACTTTGTTGTGTTAAGACTTTGCTGTATATAACCCTTTGTTGATTCTCAGCATATTGATGGTGCCATATTCGTATACTTTTTCAGCCTTGTTGAAGATTCATCAAGCATATATGGGTATCGATATATTAAATACATACTCATGCACAATGTATATTTGCTGGGTGGTTACATGAATATACCTTTTATCCCAATGGTTCATCATATTTCATGACTTTTCTCTGCCTCCATTTCTCTTCCCCATGAGGGAAACTGTACGAAGTATTTGCATACCTGTCTCTGTAGAGATCACTCGGCAGCAAATACTCTGCCATGGTGGTCAGGAGCAGGGCACTCACGACAGCTTCTTTTTTCCTCCATTCCCACAAAACTGAGCTCGTGTATGTGTCAAAGAACAACAGCACAGAGACGTAGTTAACTGCCACCTTAACAAAGCTTTGTAAAGAGCCTGACCCCCACATGCAGCTGCTCCCAGACCCTCATCTCCTATGGCTCTGATGCCGTGACAGCTCAGAGGACATTTAAAAAAAACTGCGCCAAGGCATTTTCCCTTTCTCTGGCTGTAGCTGTAGAATCAACATGACACCAGGAGAAGTGACTGTCCGCAGGGGGCTGTGCTGCATGCCTGAGTTTAGGGTTACCTCTTCCGATGTTTGGAAGAGTACTCATGATCCTCCCAGCTACCAGGGGCTGGGGATTTCAGCAGTGGAGGTTGGCAGCTGGGCCTTTCCTTCTTCCACCTTGTCAAGATGCCAAGTGTCTGTGTGATCCAACCACTGCAAAAAGGGTGGAAGATAACCACTGAAAAAAGGGTGGAAGATAGCCACTGCATGTTTGGAAGAAGCAGAGGAGCCGTGGACTGAGCAGGTTGGTCCAGGACTTGGCTGGGAGACAGAAGTCCTCTTGCAAGGACTCACCTGTGACACAAGGTTGGGAGCTGTGGAGGGTCCAGGAGGATGCCAGAGGCTGTTGCTCTTCCACAGTACCATCCTGCTTAGCAAAGCAGCTTGCCAGTGCCTGCTGCTGTGTGTAAGGGGACTGAGGTGACACAGCTGAAACAAGATTTCCTCTCAGGCCATACCAGGGGCAAGACTCAACTAGCCACAGGGACATTTTTGCAGTGATGAAGCAGGTGGGCTGAGCTATTCACCTCTTGCTCCTTCCACAGGAGGCAGCACACAAGTCACATCATCCTCATGGTGATGTCCAAAACACACCTGGCAAATCCCACTTAAAAAAATCCTTTCTCTCTGCCACGGTCTATAAAGGGAATGTTGTCATTTAAAGTTAAGTGCAGATGAACTCACCCCAGATGGTTGGCAACCTCCCATGATATTTCAGACCCAAGCAAACCAACATGCAAACTGTTCCTGAGTCGAGCCATCTCAGCCTTACCCCTGGGTAGTTGCATCCAAGCTGTTCACGGGGACTAGTCCTGCCCCTTACACACCCAGGCCCTCCCTGAACACTTGTGTGTGCTCACCCTGAGGTTAGGCTGAGCTCACAACTCCACGTCCTGATCTACCTTCATCATCTCTATGATGATCACCCCTATTCCACCAAGGGCTTGATGTGTATCTGAAATGAGCTTTAGCTGCTTGTATGCCCTTGCATCTGGCCATGGTCTAGACAGTCCCACTCCACCAGTTCTGGTGCTATCTGTCTGGCATTTTCTATCCTATCCTTGACAGCATCTCTACCTCCTGGAAAGAACTGTGAGATGAATTCAAACATGTGCAGAGTGTTGGGGAGATGGAATTGGGGTAAGAAGCAGGGAGGAGATGTGCAGCATGGATCCTAGGGGGTAAGGTTTCAGCCTGTGTTCCAATCTAAGCTGGTTCCTGAAGCCGTTCCCCAGCAATAAATGCAAGGGCAGCTATTTGTGGCAGTGAGCTAAAAGTGAGATGATACAGTACTCTGCATGACACTGGCTACAGACACTGGATTGTCTCCAGAGCTGAATCTAAAATGACAAGGACTAAACCCTCTCTGCAAAGTAGTCAGGCCTTGAGCAAAACATCTTGTGCCATTCCAGTTTGTGAAAGAAACGCTCACCTACCGTGTATTGTGCAAAACTTCTTAGGACATAAACTGTAAATTGATGGTTTGGTTCCACTTGGCAACTTCCTCAGGTCTCCATCCA